TTGGCAAAGACACTGAAGTAGTCTGCCATTTCCTTCTCCAGTATATTAAAACAAACAGAGGTTAAGTGACTTGCCCAGGGTCACACTGCTAGTCAGTGTCTGAGGTCACATTTGAACTCAGACCTTCCTAACTCTAGGCCCAGCATTCTCTCCACTGAGCCACCTAGCTGCCTCCTTGTGTATCCCCCCTAATAATAGCTAACATTTATGTAGCATTTAATACATGCTAGATACTGAGCTAAGCACTTTACAATTATTATCTCATTTGATCCTCACAACAACCCTGGGAGGTAGGTGCTATTATCATCCCCCTTTCACAGATGAGGAAAAGCAGACAAACAGAGGTGAAGTGACTTGCCCAGGGTCACACAGCTAATTAAGTGTCTGAGGCTGGATCTTAATTCCTGTCTTCCTGACTCTAGGACCAGTACTCTACCCACTGCACCACTCGGAGGTCTAGCTAATAAAAATCTAGCTGATCCTGTAAATAAACTAAGCTCTTTGACAGCAAGCACTATGCCTTAGCATGCACTATGCCTTAGCATGCACTATGCCTTAGCATTGTGGCTTGCCTACAGAAGGCATATAATAAATATCTGTTAAATTTAGTTCAATTGTTTGAATTAGTCTAGTTAATATAGCCAGGCAGAAGTTAGACATTCAAATGATAATATGAAGTTGTTTTTGCATGATAGTATCTCTACATATGTACACTTCACCAAAGAATAACTGCTTCTTACATGCTTACTCAAGGAGAACTATAAAATGATTTCACGAATAAGGCTGGCTTTCCACTGTATTATTGTCTGGGTTTTCTACCTATTCAGGGATTATTTGTAAGCATCCAAACTCCATCTTTGGAAAAGGATCCTCTGAAAACTTACATACACATAAATTGGGAAAACTCCAAAAGCATCCTTGTACTTTATTTGGTCAACTCCCCACTTAATGCTACCTCTTCTAAAACTTTGTGGCTGATTTAAAAGAAGTTCACTCAACACTAGGAAATTTGTCCTAAGATAAAAATCAGGATATAAGGGTAATTAAATTCTGTATCTCCCACTCTACTTTCTCAGCTTAAAAAACAAAACAAAACAAAACAAAAACCCCCAAACACTGTTCTCAAAGGCCACAAAAAATTAGAGTAGAATGTGATAAATTCTGTTAGCCAAAGATGTAAGCTACACATACACACACACACACACACAACAAAAACAAACAAATAAAAAACAAATAAACACAGTGAAAACATTTGAGATATAAAGAAAAGCAAAAACAATTCCTGTCCTGAAAATAACACACATTATTCCAATGGAAGAGACAACACATAAATGCGCAGATACAATCAGGGATGTGTACTCAGTAGATATATGGTAACCTTAGAGAGGAAGGCTTTAGAAGTTTGAGATATGAAGAAAGGCATCTGTAAAAGGAAGCATTTGAGCTGAGTCTTGAAGGAAGTTAAGGAGTGTAAGAGGTGGAAGTGAGGAGGCAGAGCATCTCTGACATGAGGAACAGTCAGTACTAAGGCCTGGAGATGGCAGATGAAGTGCCACGAGCAAGGAAAAACAAGTAGACGACTCTGGCTACATTCTAGAGCAAACTGACGGAAGAAGGGCGTAAGAAGATTATCAAGGTAGGAAGTGGCCACAAAAATGTCTCAAATTCACTGAACACAAGTTCTACATGAGTATGAATCAAGAGAATAAAAAAGATGACATCATACATGAAAATGCTAATCCCACAGATTATAATCCTAACATTTTATATTTTAATAAGTCTTTTTTTAAGATAACAGAAAGCCTTAAAACCCAACTTGTACAGGTGAGAGGTACTATTTTATTAGTGGGCAAATAGTCATAGAAAGAAAAAAGTATAAAATAGCAAGAAACCTCAGGCCTTTAATGTTCTCCATAATTTGACTCCACCTTACATATCCAACCCATTTTTCCAGCGCTCCTCAACAATTCACCCTTTGTTCTACACATGCCTATCTATCTCCTCCTTGTCCCATGAACACATGTCTTCATTCCTGCCTCCATGCCCTTTGCTCATAGCCTTGCCAGGAACCTTCACTCCTTCCTTTAAAGCCAGCTGTCCTGAAAGCCTTCCAGGATCATTCAGCTCTCACTGCTCTTCTTTTTCAGTGAATTTCCACAGTACGAAGTCAGCATCATACAATTTATCAGTTAATTATCTATTACCTTTTATTATTCCCAACCGTTTCATGTAGGTCAGTTTTGTCTCTCTACTTGAAGCCTAAGTGAAACAAACATATAGGGGGGAAGATTGGACTAGGTAGCTTGTACTCCAACATATTCCTTTTTAACTAAGAGATTTCAGAGATCAGTTCTAAAATTTGACAGACAAGGAAAGTGAGGTCCAGAAAGATTTAGTCAGTCAGTCAAAAAGCATTTATAAAACATTTACTGTATGCCAGGCATTGTTCTAATTGCTGGGGACTTTCCCAAGGTAATAAAGCAACTTGGAGACACAATTAGAATGATAATCCAAATCTCCTTCATATCTAGTCAATTGCTTCTTCCACTATACCATTCTGCATCTAAGGTCCCTTCCACCTCTAACATTCTATGATAAAACTGGAAGTTCTTTGAGGGTAAGAACCATGTCATACTACTGTATCTCCCAAAAGACCTTAGTACTATGCCTAGCACAGAAAAGAAACTCAGCACTTATTTGCTAATTGGTTATTATATTCCATTTTCTATCCAACAGATTATGATATCTCCAAAGTACAGACATTTAATGGAGTACAAAGTGCTATGAAAATAGCCTCTGTTCACTTACTGACACAAAAATTCAAACACTAGCAAATATATATTAAGGAAACTTACTCTAACCTTTAACCACTATTAAGATCTTTGTTCAAACGTCTAATGGGACAATTGTCTCAGCAGATGTTCCCAGATGGAAAAATGCGACTAATCTAATTACTATAAGATTACCTTTAACTTTTGCCCTTCTATCTTCATTGTACCTAGGCAGTTCTGTGGTACAATCCTCCTTGCATTTCTCAATTCATCTTTGCCTCAACTTATGAATCCAAGGGGAGGTTTGTTGGTTTGTTTGTTTTGGAAGTAATGTGGTTAAATGACTTGCCCAGGGTCATACAGCCAGTAAGTACCTGAGTTCGGATTTGAACTCAAGTCCTCCTGAATCCAGAGCCAGTGCTCTATCCACTGAGTCACCTAGCTGCCCAAAAAAAGTTTTAAGATTTCAAACTAAGCTGAGGATCTGATATGAACACAGCATAAGGTCTTCGTGGAAAATTACCTAAAGGACGTAGGAAAAGAAACTAGGGGTGAAGAGAGAAGGAATTGGAAAAGTTTTCCTTGGCCACTGCACCACCAAGACACAACCTCTTTCATGCCTTAATCATCTCCAAAAGCCAGTTCTTAGACAGGTGAAGGTTCAGTAATTTCTCAGGCCTCTAAAACCAGGAAAACAAGGCAGCCTGTAAGCAAATCACCACTACTTTAACCAGTCCTGCATGCAAGTATAAAAAAAGCACCCGCCCAAAAGAGATGTTTTACCAGTCCACCCTCCAGTTTGTAAACTAACCAAGTCACCACATTCTTGACTACTCCTCTAGCAGAAACTCTGCCTTGGGCAAATGAGCAAGTAGCTTTTTGGTAAGAAGATCCTCAGCAATGATTTGTGCAGTCTCTCAAGGCAAGCTGTCTCAGTGCTTCTTTGCAAACCTTCCCTAATACGCCTCCCTGTCACCACACTAGTATCCCTTTCGAGAGTGTCTGGGATCCCCATAGAGGTTAACAAAGAAACTATCAGTGTTGCAGTTCAACCCCCATCCCCTTTCCACCCGAACAAAAAGATCCAGCAGAAGTCTTCACTGTGCTTCAGAAAACTTAAAGAGAATGGATCACAGATCAGGAGGCAGAGGGATCTCAGAGCACAATCTAGTTGAATCCCTCATTTTTAGAGATGGGAAAACTGACACTCAGGGAGATTAAGTGATTTGCCCAATGCCACACAGGCAGTAAGTGTCAAGGTTAACATATGAACCCAGATCTTCTGACTCCAGAGCCAGTGTTCTTTCCACTGTACCACGCTGAGAAAGAGAGGAGAGGGGAGGGGAGAGAGGGGGGAGGGGAGGGGAGGGAAAAGGAAGGGAAGAGAGGGGAGAGAGAAAAAAGAGAAAGGAGAGAAAGAAGAGAAAGAAGGGAAAAGAGAAAAAGAGAATGAGAGGAGAGGGGAGAGAAGAGAAAGAAGAGAGGAGAGAAGAGAGGGAGGAAAGAAGAGAGGGAGGGGGAGAAAGAGAGAGAGAGAGAAGCAGAGAGACAGAAAGAGGAAAGAGAAGGAGAAGAGAGGAAAAGAGAAGAGTAAGAGAAGAGTGAGGAAAGGGAACAGAGAAAGGAGAAGAAAAGAGAGGAAAGAGAGAAGAGAAGAGGGAGAGAAGAGAGATGAGAGGGGTAAGAAAGAGAAGAAAGAGGGAGAGGAAAGAGAGAAAAGAGGAAAAGAGGAGAGAATAAAGAGAAAAGGGAGGAGGAGGAAAAGAAGAGGAAGAAGAAGAAGAAGAAAAAGAAGAAGAAGAAGGAGGAGGAGGAGGAGGAGGAGAAGAAGGAGTGATGAAGTAGTGAGTGGAAGGTGCACTTGGCACCACAAGGATGGCTCAGGTTGACACCATGCAGCTGGCATTGCTCGGAGGTCCTTGCCCAGGCCCCCACCCCCCACTCTCCTGCGCGGACTGGATTGAGCAGGGTCCTCCAGCAGGGGCCACCCCCTGGGAAGCATCCAATCAAATGGTATGGTTGGAGGAGGGGGTGGTTGGTGCCAGGGAGGTGACCCAGGCACCCTACTCAGAAGACGCGGCCCGGGCCTGGCACAGCTCCCGTGTCCGCCCCAGGCCCACGCCACCGCGGCCCGCAGAGTGTCCAGAGAAGGAAGGTTGGGACCGCACCAAGACGCCCCGGAGATGCAGCCCCTCCACCCCTACCCCGAAACCGCCCTGAGGGCCTTACCGAGGCACTGTCCCACCGGGGTGCTGAACGGGTTCCCCAGGAGAAACTCCATCTTGTGAGGACAGCACCGCAAGCGGCGGAGGCTCCGACCAGCTGCCCGCCACCGCCGCTGCCGCCGTCGCAATCACCCCCTGCGGCCCTCCCGGCCTGAGTGACACTTGCCCCCTTTCCCGAACGGTGAGCTTCGGTCTCCCTGCCCCTCCTGCCGATCCAAGTCCTCATTGGGCCGTGCCTCCGTAGCCTTCTACCCATTGGCCATCGACCGTCCTCCGAGAAGCCCCCATTTACCCCACAGCCTCTGATTGGACCGCGGGGCAGGTAGGTCATTTGAGCTCTCTTTCTGGTCCCGGCCCCGAGTCGGGGACCCTCAATTTGATTCGCCGAAATAGTGATCTATCTGAAGGCTTCCCGTAGTAATTGGATTAAAAACGAGGACGTCACCACCACCTCCCGCAGAGGCGGGCCAAGGAGGGACCCGCCCCTAGAAGACAGCGATTGGAGGTAGATTTGTTTTCTCTACGACTGGTTGGTGAGAAAAGCATTTTCCCCCCCCCAAAAGTTTGGGCATGTGACCAGTCAACTTTCACCTTGGAGAGTCCGTCATCGGATTTCCCCTTAGCAACCAGACAGTCGCGTTATCCTCCCCTAGCAACCGGGCAAACTTCTTTGAGGCTGAAACGAGACGGAGGTTAGAGCTCCGGAAGGTGAGATATCTCGAGCTAAGAACTCAGAGCGGCCTTCGGGGACGGACCAGAGGGGAAGGGCCCCCCAGCCTGTCCCGATCCCACCGCACCCCGCCGGGACCAGGGCGAAGGGTAGCGGAGTCAGGGACTGGTGTCAGAACCCCAAGTTCTAACCCCGCTCCCCCTCCCCCACCCCACTCCTACACTGTCTGTCTCGGGGTCTGGGCCTCATAGGAGTTAGTACGTGCCCACAAGACTCAGTTTTTTCATCCATACGATAGGGAGACACGACTCTTTACCACTTCACCATGCTTTATCTGCCTTTTGACAGGATCCTTGGCTCCTGGGCAGGAAGGGGCTTTCACAGCGATACAGCTAGGTCCCTATCAGTACAAATAAGGAACGCCCTGAAGTGGTCTCGTGTATTCGAATTAGCACTATTCGAAGTTATAATTGTGTAAAATATGATAATTAGTTCTAGCCTATGGAAATATGCAGTGCTAATTTGAATAATGTCACCACTTATTGACTACATCTTTTCTCCCCTCTCTCAATCTCTCTTCTTTCTCTTCTTTCTCTCCTCTTTCTCCCTTCCATCCTTCCATCTATCCATCCATCCTTTTTCAGTCCCTGCCAACTTCCTACAAAGGGTCTCTATTAATGGAACAATTCTTTTTCAACAAACCCCTTCAAGGGATTCATTATTTACACCAATCCGAACCTAACTACAGGTTTCCAACTATCCTTTCCTTGCATCAAACCTGTGAAGTGGGTAGTGCAAGTATGATCCACATTTTACAATTGGGAAAACTTAAGGAGATGAAATAACTTTCCCACAGCCACTCATCTACAGTCAGAGCTGTGATTCAAATCCAGAACTAGATTGACTGTAAATCTAATGCTTTTTTTTACCCCATTTTTACTTTATTCTCTCTCTTTTCTGTACCCCTACCAATGTCCAATCCAGTTCATTCCAGATGTAACACCAGCTGTGGATGTAAAGCCTGAGGTAGGTGTGCTGAAAGGGAATGGAGATGGGAGAGGAAAATTGAAATGCTCACAGGCCATACCTTCTAGGACTTAGAAATGGGGTTCTGTCTAGTCCATCATTCTCCTTTCCTTCTCCCTCCTTTTCTTTAGACTTAAGGAAGGTTTAGCTCTATGGACAGCTGTTCATAATGGGTTCCACTGGTGGTTTTGAAGATAACTGAAAGTTTAGGCTCTTTAATCACCCTTCCCACTACTCTTGGGGAGATTTAAGGGTTATAATAATTGTAATAAAATTTGCTCCCCTCTGTAAGGATGGTGGTCCCTGGATCACCAAGTCAGAATTGAAGGATTGTTGTTTATGTATTCTGAAAAATATAGAAAACTCTTCAGAGCCACCCCTCCATGCACACTCAGATCCAAATTAAGGACTGGGCCACAGGCAATGGGAACAAACTCATTCATAAAGGAATAAAAAGGCTTGCAAGCTACCATGGTGACGGGGGAGGAGTGTCAGGGTGGAGAAGACATGGGATTCTATGAAAATAGGGGGATATTTTTTGTCTAATTCTGTCTAAAAGGATGGAAGAGGGAGAGGGGAACAGGAAATTTGGAGAAGAGAGAACACTCTACCTTAGCTTGGATTTACCAAGATTGGGATCATCTCCTGTTCTGGTAACTGCTAACCACCTGCCTCCAGTGGATGAAACCTCTGCCAGTTGTGGGTGGATACCATACTGCTGTCCTTCTTTTGCAGCCCTTTCTTGGCTCATTCTCCACCATCTCCTCTGTTCAGCTGACCCTGGGCCCAAAAGGCCCAGGCACTGCTAGAATTTGGGATGGGGGAGTAGCAGGAGGTATAGCAATGAGGTAGCTGGCACTTGGAAATATAAGGCACAGCATCAAATACTCATCACCATGTAATAGAACAAGGATAATTAATCTAATGTTCCCGGTAATGGTCTCAGAGCACCAAGGTACCACCACAATATATGCAACAGACAGAACACAGTACAAAGCTTCACTTGACAGGGGCTTTGAACTACAGGCCTAAATTATATGTAGGATATATATAACAAGCCAAGTATTAATAGCAATAATAATTACCGTAGGTCTATGAAACAACAAAATTAGCAAAACAGCAAAACTATAAACAGAACTAACAAAACTAAGCAAAATTAACAGAGAAATGTTGCTACGATGCAGTCATAGTACCAATACAAAGCAAGGAAGCATAACAAAAGTGATAATAAAACATAAACATATGATAATTAACATTTATATATCTTACATATATATCAATGAACATATATATGAAAGTATATTCAATATATATGCTACATGGATAAACATTACCGTGATTGTCCTCAGCTTCTTGCTGAACAAAGAGATATACTGGTTATGAATGTCTTTAGTCTTTCTGTCCTCAGTCACTCCAAAATACAAATCAGTATGTAGGCATGGTTCACACCTAAACATCAGCCAGTAGGGTGTAAAGTTGGTAGCTTTATCCCTGGTAGAATTGTATGCATTTTCAAGATAAGCCATATGCTGTCTCCACTGAGATTTTTTTGTTGTGGTAACAGTGCCCTTGGCACATTCATCAGAATGCAGTTTAAACATTTGGGGTTGTGGTTCCCTTTGAAGGTGGTTAGGTCTTGTTCTAGACTTCCTGATGCCAGCCAAAGTTCACAGTGCTTTGGGTAATGAACTTTCAAAGGCTCAACCTTGATCAGAATAGATCCTCACAGGATGTCTATATACCGAGAAGTACTTTTACAGGACCGTAGGTTTGTACCACTACTGACTCTCAAAAGGAACTCACATGGCACCTCTGAAGATACTAGAGCCTGAATCCAGTGCCTTGAACCTTTCAAGTATACTACATTCCATAATATTTTAGCAACTATGGAAACTTTCTGGTTCTTGTTTGAATATACCAGTACATACTGTGGGAATTGAGTGAATCACGATGACTCCATCTTGTGACTCAGTTCTGGATCTAGCTCAGTTTCCTTTCTATTCAATTATGGATCTAGTCCAATTTGTGTCTTGTGAGAAAACTTTATGCAATTATGGAAACTGTGAAAAAACTTTATTGCATTGTTTGGACCTAGCCCTTTGTGATGGAGAAACTGGACCACCTCTACTTGCTGCTTAGAGACCCTTAACTGAGGACCTAGGTTACGCCGACCAGAAATCCAGTCAGATCTAAAGACTAATGCAAAGAGTTTTCTCACAATTATACATCTCAGGCAACCCATATGTCTTATTTGAAAACTGGCCCCATACTGGTCAAACAGTCATTGTTTACATGTTCCTTTGATTTAATACAGACGCTTGAGGGGAGTGAGATGCTTCTTTTTCTGATTTTAGGAAATTGTCCCTATTCACTCACTCCCTCCCAACTTAGAAAGTCCCTAATCTTTCTTCCAGTTAGGAATCAAATTTCCTAATTTTGTATCCTAGTTAATTGTATTCTTTTATTTAATTGGTCTTATTTGATTAATTTTTTTTTTGGACTAGGCAGTAGGGTTAAGTAACTTGCCCAGGGTCACACAGCTTGTAAGTGTCAAGTGTCTGAGGCCGCATTTGAACTCAGGTCCTCCTGACTCCAAGGCCAGAGCTCTATCCACTGCACCACCTAGCTGCCCCTGATTAATTTTTTTAATGCATAAACATCTGTCTCCCCCATATTCAGAGTCTAGTAGAGGAGGCCTGATCCCAATTTGTTAGGCAATTGACATGTGTTGCTTAATGAATCAATATGCTCGAGCTCGAAACTTTGTTTCCTCAGTCATTTCATCTCCTACTTGCCAGAATACTTAGTGAACTGGTCAGTTTCCACCAATATATAGTTTGTGTTATTGCCGTCTCCTTCTAGAAATAAGAAGTCAATGCTAAAAAGTCTTAAAGGCTTGCTAGTACTTACATGCTCAAAACATGCAGCATGAATTGATAGTATATTTTTTACATGCAACGAGGGACAGCTTGCACTTCTTAGTGACATCTGTAGCCATTTGGGGACAGAAAAACTTATTTCTTACTAGCGCTAAGAGACCTTTATTGGCATATATGTTCAAAGCTATCATGTAAAGCTTGCAAAGCTTTAGAGCAATATTGGTTGGGTAGCACCAACTGCTTCCCCACACCATACATGGGATCAGTGCCAGCTCAATGCCATATTCCATTGCATAGTTCCAACTTCTACTGTTGTCTCAACAATGAAGTGCCTTCAGAAAAATGGCATTTGACCCCTTTTCTAACACTGCCTCATTTCTTGTTTTATATCTTTAGGCAGTCTTTCGTCAACTATCAGATCTCTTTGCCAGTGATCCACAGACAACTGAGGCAAAAAAAAAGAAAGTTTGTTCAATTAAGTATGGTTCATGTGTGCTGCTGGCACACAGCTGTACTGACATCTGCTTGTAGTCCACTTCCTTGGGTGTTACATATAACTTTCACTATTTTTTTAGGTGTTGCCATATTACCAGTGTAATGGTATTCTGGAAAGGGCATCTATATCCAGAGACTTGGAAATACCAAGTCTTTCCAACTTGGTAGTTAATGCTAAATATGTAGTTAACTAGTGCTGCTACCCATCTCTGGCTTCTGACTTAGCACTGATTGGGATATGTCTGTTGACAATTGTTGTCAAACCATATTTGTAACTTTCCGCTGAAAATATTGCCTTAAGGGGCGGTGAGGCGGTGCAGTGGATAGAGCTCCGGCCTTGGAGTCAGGAGGACCTGAGTTCAAATTCTATCTCAGACACTTAACACTTACTAGCTGTGTGACCCTGGGCAAGTCACTTAACCACAATTGCCTCACCCCCCCAAAAAAAACATTGCCTTAAATTTCTCAGTAAAAGCTCACTTCAAAGTCAGAAACTCCAGGTTGTGAATGGGGTAACAGTTGTCACTGTCACTAGGTCTCTGTTGGCAAATGCAGTTGATTTCATGTGACCATCACTCTCTTGGTACAGGTCTGCTCCCAAGTCTTGCAAGCTGGCATCCGTATTCAGAATAAAAGGCTTGCTTGGGTTATAGGCCAGCATAAGTTAGCACTGGTGTGTATATGAGGCAGCTGGCCAAGTCTTTGAAAGGTTATTCACATCAGCCCATCGATCATTCTCCAAATGGCCTTGCTGGTTTTAAGACAACTTTGTGTTTTTTTGTCTTCCTTCTTCTGGGTCTCTTAAATAATATATGTTCTAAAAAGGTCATTTCAGTGGCTTAGCAGCAGCAGCATAGTTTTTTAATAAATTTTTTATAAGACCTGCCAAATCCAATAAAGTCCTTAAATTTCAAAGGTTCTTTGGACATGGCCAAATCAGGAGCATGTCTATCTTCCCAGAAACAGTGTTCATGCCTTTTAGCAGTACAGTATGACCTCATACTTGACAGGAGCTCTACAAAAATGGCACTTGTAAAATAAAAATTCTAGAACATTTTCCCCTAGTCAACCCAACCTTTCATCAAATTTTCTTCTTGTTCATCTATGTCAAGAGTTGGCAAACTTAGACCTGTAGGCCAAATCTAGCCTGCCTATTTTTGTACAGCTTGCCAGCTCAGAATGGTTTTTACACGTAGCTCGCAGGCTATACAAAAGTAGGCAGTGGACCAGATTGCCCTACAAGCCATACAGAGTTTGCCCAGCCTGGGTCTAGAGTCTTCCCAAAGACAATTATGTCATCAGGACACACCAACGCTTCTAGGCAGTTCGTGTCTCCAAATGCTTTCTCTGTCAGTCCTTGGAAGGTGGCAGGTGCTCCCCAGAAGCCTTGGAACGTATGGTCAAACTGCTAAAACCCAGCTGGAGAGATGAAAACAGTCTTTTCTTTATCTTCCTCTGCCATAAAAATCTACTGGCCACTGTGCCAATCCAATAAAGAAAAACCACTGGCTGCCTAACCCAAAATCCAGGAACTCTTGAACTCTTGGCTTGATATATTGGTGCACTTTTTGTTATTGTTCAAAGTTTGGTAGCCAACATGCATGCATGATTTTCTATTCTTTTGAG